GATCTTCAAATGCCTGCTCCATAGGGTAGGAAATATGAGATAATGTATGTAATGTGCTCCCCACCTCCTTTCCTTACCTGTACTGCTTCTACCCCTTCTTCGAGGCCCATCTAAAGTTAAAAGAATCAAAATCAGAGCCCCACCTTCTCTGTGAGGCCTTTCTTTTTCTTTTTTCTTTTTTTTCCTCAGGGAGCTTTTTTCTTATTTTTTTCCCCAGGAGTTTTTTTTTTTTTTAATTTTTTATTGTTATGTTAATCACCATACATTACATCATTAGTTTTTGATGTAGTGTTCCATGATTCATTGTTTGTGCATAACACCCAGTGCTCCACGCAGAATGTGCCCTCTTTAATACCCATCACCAGGCTAACCCATCCCCCCACACCCCTCCCCTCTAGAACCCTCAGTTTGTTTTTCAGAGTCCATCTGAAAAACAGTCTCATGGTTCGTCTCCCCCTCCAACTTACTCCCCTTCATTCTTCCCCTCCTGCTATATTCTTCTTTTTTTTTTTCTTAACATATATTGCATTATTTGTTTCAGTGGTACAGATCTGTGATTCAACAGTCTTGCACAATTCACAGCGCTCACCATAGCGCATACCCTCCCCAATGTCTATCACCCAGCCACCCCATCCCTCCCACCCCCCACCACTCCAGCAACTCCGTGAGGTCTTTCTTAATGCCTGCAGCCCCAGTCTACACCATTCTTGCAAATGCTCGTTGTATTTATCCCTGTACCAGCTCCTGTATCCATTAAATTTACCAAACACAATTCCAGAGACAAGGGAAGTGCTCCATAAGTAAAATAACAGTACTAGTTTTTTTTTTAATCAAATAATAGAAATGTTAAAACAAGAATAGAATTTATTAGATAAGCTAAAACTTCAGGGATTTAAGGCTTCTTGGTAAAAGCTGCTTTGTAGGGGAAATATTATAGTGGGGGAAAATTCGTTTTTCCTTTTTTAAAGTTGGGAAACAATTTCCTGACAACTCTTGAAATAACCAGGAGTACCTGGGGAAGTGACTAAACCCAAATTAAGAATCTCGAATCCAGAGAAAGCATTGCACATATTCTGAGCCTGGATATTTTTAGTTCTGTTTGTGTAATAAACCCTACTAATGGATTTTTTTATATATAACTCTGTATTTCCTTTTTTATATTTTAGATGGAGCAGATTAAAAGGGCAAATAAACTGTTTACCAGTGACTGTATATTTCTGAAGAAAACTTTGAACATCCCAGTTATATCAGAGAAGGCTTTGTTGTTTAATGGACTTAACTCAATAGATTCTCCAGAAAATGAAACTGTTGGTAGCAGTTTTTCTCATGAAGAAGAGGCGGTAGCAGCTGGGGAAGACCTTTCTCCTCCCAGTCCTCTAGAATCCGATGTTCAGCCCATACAGCCTGAAGAAGTGTCAGCTAGAGATTTCCTGCAGAGACTAGACTTACAGATTAAGTTGTCAACGCAGGCAGCCAAGAAGCTAAAAGAAGAGAGCAGGTAAAAATATGCTGGTAAAATGTCAGAGGCTGAATAAATTTATGATGTCCTTGCTTGGCTAAGGTTTTGTTGTGTTTTGTTTTCTCTTTGCTCTGCTCTGTCCTATTTTTTCCTTTTGCTTTAAAAACTATATTTTAATTCTAGAAAGTCATTTTCAATATATGAGGCATAAAAAGAGCTCCTGCATTCTGCATAGGGCTTTACCTGTTGTCTCTGTTATTTATTATAAAAAGTTTGCTTCTTTGCTTTAGTAGCATAACTGTCCAGCGAGCAATTCTGGATAGCAGCCAAGCAGAAATGTCTCGTTTATCCCGCCAGAGGAAGGACTGCCCTGGGGAATCCTTGTGATCCTAATGCTATTTGTCAAAGACAGTGTCCATTATTTGTTACTGGGTGTTTTTCATGTGAGCTTTTTTCTTTGCTCTTTAATTTGGTACTAGGGCAAATCTTTTTCTCTTCTACAGAATTGATTTTCTTTTTCCTTTATGAATCCAAGAATGGCACAAGCTGTTGTGTTTCCTTTTTTGCCCTGGCTACCAGGAAGCTAGCAACTAAAACTGATGTTCAGTTCAACTACTACAGTATTTCTTATGGTTGATATATTCGTACAGTTCTCCTTTTCTTAGTCCTGATTTTTTATTTCTATCTAATGCATCTTATTATATGTATGCTTTTTGTTGTAGGCACATCAAGTCCTTTCGAGGAAAAGGTGGAATATAAAAAATAAAAACAAATATGAATGTAATCATTTTATAATTCAATGTTTTATTTAAATGTAATAGAAAAATGTAAATATATAAGAATATATATATTCTTTTTTTTACAAGTACCCTTCTTTATTCCAATAATTGAGATGCCAATAAAATGCAGATAAGGTACACCCTAATGAGTATTTGCATTTCATACAACTTCCAGGACATGCAAAATATTATAAATTGATACTCCTGCCCTTCTTTGGCAAGTGGATATTAAGGTATATAATAAGTATACATATTAGTTTTCTGAATAGTGCTTTTAAACACTGATTTATGCTGAATTTCTTTTTTTCAGAGATGAAGAAAGCCCCTATGCAACTTCCCTCTATCACAGTTAGATGATCAGGGGTGATAATCTAACCTGGATTAAGAGATGGTTGAATCATAAAGAAACCAACAACTGAAGATTCAAAAGCATACATCGTTAAATCACAATTTAGTAGTTCTACCTACTGCAATTGCACTGAAGTGATTATTTCCCTCTGGCTTTCTATAATTTTAAGTCTTTATTATGGCATGAGAGCAAAATTGTATCCTAAAGCTCATCACTTTTGTAGGTGATGGTAGTTTTTAGACTAGTTTTGTAAATACTAGTTAACATAAAGCATCAAAGACTATATACATATTCAAGCTGAAAATGATGTTGATCTGAGAAATCATAATTATGTGAAATACATGGTTGCTGTTTAAGTGATACTGATTTTGCTATGTGTTTATAACTTAAGTGCTATATATATATTTCGATATGTATTACATATTCTGTATTAATATAAAGAACCAAATTTTGTCTGCTATTTTGTAAAAATAAACTACAAAAGCCTGAATGAGAAAATAAACTATGTTTTCATATTTGAGTCTTCAATTTTTTCAACAAATGGAAAAATAAAGCAGACTTTTAAAATTACTTTTTAAATGGTGACAGCTTCTCCTCCATTTTAATTGCTTTTATTATTATAATTGGAATTTTGAAAAAGCTTCAATAATCTAAAAGCAAATCATTATGGGTATTAGTAACCTTTGCATTTTCATAATATTTGACCTGATATGTTTGAGATATGGTATAAACATAGAATATGATCAGAAGGAGAAATTATGACACACTGGTGAATTCTAGTTTAGATTTCATTAAGTCACTTTATAAAGAGCGTTTCGTAGGCACTGTGCTCATTTGAATTGAGGGTTAAGTTTTTATTTACATAATTTGTCTTTTTTCATATGTACAGGTTACAGCCATAAATCTTAAGCAAAATATTATTTACAGTTAAACTTTTTTTGGTCTCAGTTTTTATTCAAGTACCAGGTTAAAGAAATCTTTAAGCTTCCACAAAAATTCCCCATATTTATCCCTCCCCTACATCCCCAAGGAATCTGCTTTCTGTGGGGCAAACAGGACTCTCCCCTCATTTTCTCTTCCCCATCTCCCTCCTTCAGGTCTTCCATTAAGCAGGAAACAGGTGCCCTTAGACATCAATGCAGCAGAGCTTATAGAATCAGAACTGCACATCTCCAGCCCTTGAGAGTGACCAACAGGTGCATGCATGGGAAACACTAGTCATCTGCCCTTGTCTTGAATTTCTTATTTATTCATAACATACATACTCCCTGATGTTTTGGTTTTTTTCTCATGCTGTTACTGTCTTTGATATAGGGTGATTTCTTGATCATGCTTTGCTGCTACCTGACTAAGGGGAGTTAGTTGGAAGAGGAGAAAACAAAAAAGGAAGGGAAACCATTGTGTATATAAGACAAGGTCTGGGCCTCTCTGGAGGCACAGGAACTTTCAAAAAATGTAAAGTTATCACGCTGTTTAACATAACATCATCTGAAATTTGAGAGTAATCCAAAAATGCTATCCAAAAGATGTAATATAAGCAGAAATGTAAAATTCAGACCACAATCTTAAAAATATTCTTCTGAGTATTGCTTTGTTGCCTAAGGTCTACTCTTAGCACTTTCTGGCCAAGACATTTCTGTCCTTCACGTTATTAAAAACTCTGGATTTGCTGTGGCCACAGTTGAACTGTCTTGGACCAGAGTACTTTAGTACTGCCTCGGATGAGTGGACTGAGCCACAAGAAACCGGGTTCGAGGCCCACTTTTAACCATTTCTTGGCCATCCAAGTTTGAGCACACTCTGTGCCCTTCTTCTGTGAACCAGTTTCCTCATTTCTAAAACAGGGCCGATGATCTCCCTTTTCTTTTTTCTTGGCTACTGCTGGGAGCTAATGAATATCTGTGTGTCAGAAAACTACAATAAACTCCCTAAATAAATGTCTTACTTAAAAATAGACTGCATAGGTATCTAGATAGATTATAGAAAAGTGAATGGATAAAATGCTTTAATTGCAGCCAGACTTTTTTCCCCCCTGATGTACAAGCAGCCTGTTTGGACTGTAGGACATGGGTGAAGGAGTAGGTCATGTTATCAAAGATGACATTAAAATGATCTGACTCACTGTTTGGCAAGGATAATTTGGGCATAGGTGTTTTTAGTTCCCTCTTACTGCTCACCAGGGAGTACTGGCTTTTCTAGAACATACTGAGTTTAGTTTGTGTGGGTGTCAGGCTTTGGGTTTTGTTTATTTTTACAACTCTAGAGAGGATGGGGAGGAGCAGCAGTGGTTTCCTCCTCGTGAAAAATAACCTCTTAATATTGTCCCTCTACATTCCCCAGCCCTCACCAAAAAGTAGATACCAGGTAGGAGCATTCAAGACAAGTATCAGAAGGCCGTTTGAAGTCATGACAGCTAATACACAAAGCATTATATTATTTTTAAGATTTCCAGCTGAAATAGATAGAAAAATATGTTATCACTTTATGCTGAATAATGCATTTTCAAAGCATTCTTCGGTTTGGGAGCATTGCCCATTACCATTTCAGGAGGACCTTGGGCCACTGTGTGTTGCTTCCAGGGCTGTGTTTGCAAGGGCAGCTGAGGAAGAGGAGTTGCAGGGACCCTAAGTTCATTAACCTTTTCTTCCAGGAAAGCTCGTTTACCAGCTTTGGTCCACAAAGGAGGGAATGACTTTTATCTATTTCTGTACTACTGCCTGGCCCTCTTGCTCTCTGTTGAGAATACCTTGGCCTGGATTAAATTCAGTTTAGATAACTCAAGTCTGGCAGACATTTTTACTTTGCTTCTGTAATGTTTATGACCTCATTTTTCTCCTTGGAGAGCACATAGTTATTCCTACTAATAAACAAACTCAATGTCTGGAAATGTCAAATGTCGGGAGAAATTGTTGATGAATCCAGCAAATCCTATGCTTATCTTTCAGGTTCCTTTTTGCACCACTGGGCCTGATAAAGAGCCAGCAGGAACAGCCAAAAAAGCAGAGAGTTATCCTTTAAGCTAGAGAGGCTTTGAGGAAATGTTAATTTATTTTGACTCCTCAAAGGGAACTGGTAGTGGAAACGACATCTTGTAACAGACATATTCTATGAGGTGCTTTGGTACCCAGCATGCCTTGAAAACAGAACCCCCTAATTCTTCAGGCGGGTGTCTGTGGGTGTGACACAGCGGGAAGAAGCTTCAATTTTAAGTTCTATCCATGACAGGCTTTCCAAAGCAACATATCTCTGATTATAAAATGTAAATCTAAAAGGAAATAAGGATTCTATATACAAAATCGCAGCTTACATACAACTTTACTTTTCAGACAGTTTTTATGGCAAGAAAGCTATGTTTAACCACTTCCAAAAGGTTAACTACTGCAATTTCATCACTTTCTAATAATCCTTGGGTCAAATAACTTTAATGACAGAATTAGAAGTGTTTTAAGCTATGTTTACTGAAACAGTCTAAAGACTCCTGGATCTTCTGCCATTTTTACAGACTGCTGTAGATACGCTTGATGGCATCAGCTTCCTCTTTATCAAGGATGCCTTTCTCCACATAAGCATCTGCTTGTTGGTTGATGAAGTCCCTCATCTTTGAAAGGTCATAATCTAGAAAAGATCGTTAGCGTATCATGAGCAACAATCAGGAAAGAGACATCCCATTATAGTGACAACCATTAACTAAGAAGCTTTTAATGCAACAACACAACTACCATTCCATCCCCGTTTTTCACATTGGAAAACATATTAGATCTTGGCATTTGTTCAGTCTTTAGAGTTTAAAATCATGTTTATGTGTGTGATATTATCTCATTTGCTGTCCATCATCACCCCTGCAAGGTGTTCAAGTGGGGAGTACCACTCTCATTTGACCGTGGAAGGAACAGGCTCATAGACCAGGGCTTTGCAAACTTAATGTTTATACCGATCACCCGGGGCTCTTGCAGGTTTGTTTTCAGGAGGTCTGAGGTGGAGCTCCAGATTCGGCATGTTAAATAAGTTTCCAGGAGATGTTGATTCTGCTGGTCCGGGAATCACATTAGGATAACAAGATCCTAAAGCTTAAGTATCTTGTTCAGGATCATACAGGTGGTAAGAGTTACAAACAGAACCAGGTGTTTTGGTTTTCTGCAATTGTTATATAGGTTAAGTCACTGTTGATGTGACAACCCACTATTTTTTTTCCAAATTAAGAATTACCATGATTTTTCATAGTATCAGAATTATATGCATGGAGCAAAAAAAATTATATTCATGGAGCTTTTTTTTTTAGAGAAACCTCTTTATGGCTCTTCTGTCCTACTTAAACAAAAAACCTGTGTAAACCATTAAACCACCCATCAAAAACAAAGAGATCCCCAAGTAAGGACGCTGCCTGTGGCACTTTTCTGAAGGCTTAAAGAAAACCCACATCCTCCCTTGAGGCTTACTTTTTAAAAAATGGAAAATACAGAAACATGGAAATAAAATTTAAATCACCTGAATTCTAGTAATCATAAATAACCACAGTTGGGTTTTTTTCGCTTTTCAAATATATGTGTCTCAACCCAGGATTGAGATCACAGTATATATACAACCTTATTAACAAGCTCCTTTCACTTTACCCAGTGAGCATCAATATTCTTCAGAAACACCGCTTTTAATGGCTACATACAATGCATCCTACGGTGATACCAAAATTTATGACTCACATCTCTCAGGGTGGGACATGTGGGTCTTCTACACCCCAGCATTATTAGGGAGATTCCCCCTCTCCCCGATTTTGAGTTGCCTGAGGCTGAGTTCCTTGAGGACAGTGCCGTTCACCTTGGCTGGAGCAGCCCCTGGAACAGAGCCTTGCCTTCTGTCAGTTTGCAAAGGAGACAAAAAGGGAGAGAGTGGGGAGCAAAAGCTCAGAGCACCCGTGGAAGGAAAACTATAAAGAACATTGCTGGGGCGCCTGAGTGGCTCAGTTAAGTGGCTGCCTTCGGCTCAGGTCATGATCCTGGAGTCCCAGGATCGAGTCCCGCATCGGGCGCCCTGCTCAGCGGGGAGTCTGCTTCTCCCTCTGACCCTACCCCCTCTCATGCTCTATCTCATTCTCTCTCTCAAACAAATAAATAAAATCTTAAAAAAAAAAAAAAACATTGCTGTAGGCGCCAGGTGTTTATCGTATCAAGTGAGCCGAGGCTTAGAGAAAACCCGTTTCCTCTCCACGGAGAAAGGCATTGGTTCTCATTAGGGCTTGGCCATGAAGATTAGAAAGAGACAACTGTCATCTGACGTGCTCCTTGCGGAACTCCATGAGGTAAGCATTAGGAACCCCATCTCAGACACGAAGAAACAGGACAGAGGTAAGTCACTCGCTTGGGTAACGGCCGAGTCACGTTCTGAACGCCAGTCTGTCTGTAGTCTCTGCTTTGGCCATCTACGGCCTTGAAGTAGGGAACGTGAAGCAACTAAGAGGTGTAGAACCAATATTCAGTAAGCGCTTGGGGTTTTTGTTATTGTTGTTCCCTTTCACTTTCCCTTACTGTCAGGACGAAACAGAATCGTGCTGAACATACATTTTGCGCGCACCTCACCAGCAGATTCCTGACTGACTCGGAGGGCACAAAGAGGCGCCTCTTGATGATCGCTGGTTCAGATTAATACTGGCTCTCCCGAGCTAGTTGCAGGGTCAACGTCTTTAGTGGGACAAAAGGCAGCCCAAAGGCAGATGTGAAGAGGTCCGGGTGATTTGAACGGACACACAGGAAAATATTTTGCTTTCTTTTGAAATGGAAAAACTGTATCATTAAGACATAGCTGTCACAGTGTGCCCTGGGGAAATGAGCATGGTGCAGAAGAAAGGCCATTGGCTGCCTGTTAGATCACACAAGTCAGAAGCCACCTTGCTAACCTTAAGAAGGTTTTAAGGTCGTTACGCTCAAAGGGGAAAAGGGCTGTGATTCACTTTTCAAAAAGAACAGACTTTATTTTTAAGGGTGCGTAAAGTTTTTTCCTCCTCCTTCGTATCACATCGCATGGACCTCCCTTTTCTGGAAGTGGAAAATTAAATTGCAGGATATGGTTGGTTATGACCAGGAGTCTGATTCATATTAATCAGGAAAAGAAAGAACATAAGTACTCCAAATTGTTGGACCATAAAATTGACATTGGTTTCAGAATGCATTCTGGTGCCTACTGTATTACATTGATTCTAAGATCAACATTTTTTTTTATTTTAAAGTCTTCACAGTCACTGATGGCACGTTATAATTTTTCTTCCTTAGTGGTGTATGAAACAATGATGCCTTTTTCAATCAATGACAGATTTGATGAAATATGGGTCATGTGAATTTGAATGGAACTGACAGCCTGGAAAATCACATCATTTTGAACCAAATAAAATAAAATGTGTGCGAAAAGCTGATAATTGTTTCCATCTCACTCAATTTAACAAGATCACAGGTTAAAGAGGGGCTAAAAATACCTCTTCCATTGTGCTCCAGTGATTCTCAAACTTGGCTACACAGTGGAATCATGGGAGAGGCGGGTTAAAATACTGATGCCCCTGTGTCATTCCTCCTGAGTGAGTGTCTGATTTAGCGGGCCTGAGGATCTCCACAGGTGATCTGAATGCATGTTCAAGTTTGAAAACACCACTCATCTCATTTTAAAAGCATCACTTGGCAACTGCTCAGCCAGACACCTGGGAGTCATAGAGGACTCCTCTGTCTCCACGTTGCTCTCAAGCTTCCCCCTTCTTTATTTCCTCTGCCTTGCCTTGGTTTGAGCCCCAGCATTTCTGCTCCAGATCCTTGCCTCCCATCTCTGTCCAATCCTCTGGGGTCTTATTTCTCCCATCTGTAACCACACTGCTGCCAGATCGATTTCTCAGTTCCTAACCTAATTAAGCCCTAATTTAGGCTCTTCTGGCTAAATCTTACCTCCTTTGCAGGGTGCATAAGCTCCTTCCTGATCTGGTGGCTACCCACCTCCCCGCAGACACCCAGTGTTCCTGGGAAACTGAGTGGCTCCAGTTCCCAGAACGCATGACTCTCTTTTGTCCCTTTATGTCTTGGCACCCAGTGTTCCCCTGCCCTCATCTCTCGTCACTTAGCTTTCCAGCAAAGGCTTTCTTGCAGACCTTTCTCCCAGTGCTACCCCTCCCTGTAAAGAGATGGGCTCCCCACCTTTGCACCACTTCACCTGTCTGTGATAGCACTGAGCAGGGCCAACTGTAGCTTGAGTGATGCTAGGAGCTCCTTGGGGGACCAAGGACGGCAGGGGGAGACTGCAGCTTCCGTTTTCACATCTATGGTACTCAGAACAGAATAGTCTTGTTCTATGTTTTAAGTGAGTGACAGCTTTTGTGACTGCAGGGTACATCTAATATGTGGTCAAAAATGCCTTTGTTTAAAATACTCCAAGGAGGGGCGCCTGGGTGGCTCAGTCAGTTAAGTGACTCTTGATTTCAGCTCAGGTCATGATCTCAGAGTCATGAGATCGAGCTCCGTGTTGGGCTCCACGCTGGGTGTGGAGTCTGCTTAGGATTCTCTCTCTCCCTCTCTTTCTGCCCCTCCCTTGCCACCCCACCCTCTCAAAAAAATAAGTAAAAATTTAAAAATTTTTAAAAAATTCTCCAAGGAAAGGGCAAAATGTTGATAATTATTGGAGGTGGTCGATGGATACATGGGGATTCATTGTACTAGTCTCTCTACTTTTGTTTGACATTTTTCATAATAAAATGTCAAATAAAATGTCAAAGGAAAGGCCTTTGTTTGAGAGGCTGCTTTGAAAAATAAGAGAAGTGGAGATTCTATTTCTGCATCGGCATTCCTTCATCCTGGAGTCTTTTTATACAAGTTTGATTGTGAGAAACATCATTTAACAAGAACCCTGACAAATGGGTGAAATTGTCAATTTACAACCATACTAAATCCTTACCTTCTTTATTTCCTTTTTTGTTGTGTTTCTTCAACCATTCAATATTTTTTCTGATGGCTTCCAAATAGGCTTCTGTTTTTCCTGGAAAAGGGAAGAGAACCCATATCAAACACTCATAAAATATCACAGCATTTCTTTTTAAAGACCACACTCTTGTTTAGAACCATAAACATTGGACTCACCGAGCACTTGTGAGGTGGTGTCCCTAATGAAATAGTGTGCATATTTGTGTGCATGGTGTGCGTGGGGGTGTTGAGGAGAATGGGTAGGGATGAGATTCCAGGAGACAGGACCAGGCTAGTGTCAAGGAGTCATTACATACACACACACACACACAACTGCAGTCTGTTGTCCTGGCAGAGAAGAGTTTTGATTCACTTTACTGGATAGCTGGGTGCCTTCAATTCTTAGATTGCATCCTTTCTGTTTAGGAATGGTTCTTCCAAACTGAGGAGTATTTTCAGGTCAAGAACTAAATTGGAATGGCAGATACTGAAAAGACTCCATCACCAAATAAATGATGTTAAGTACGTCCAAATGTGTGGCTTTGTTAGGCTGCTATTTAAGTCTTCTGCCCAATCTGGTAGGGAGTGTGTAAAAACTCAGATGAAGAGGTGACCCGGGCCTCATTTCAAGGTTTGGATGTGAAGCTCAGGACTCATTCTAGAAAAGCTCCTCCAGATATAAACATTCTCCCATGGGCCTCAGGTGTGGTGAGAGGAAACTAGGCATCACTGAAGCACCTGCTCCGTGAAACCCTTTATATATATTGTAGTCTGCAAGTGGGTATTAGCACCCACTTAGAGATGAGAAAACTAAGGCTCAGAGAGGCTAAGTGACTTGGCAGAGACCACATAGAAAATAACTGAAGTAGAATTTAGACTCTGGTCTTACCAAGTTTCTGCTGCCTATACTACCTGAAAGAAAAGATCTTTCTTCAGACATGGACACTGATGTAGCCTTGCTCTGTCTCGAAGAAATCAACCACACGTGAAATCAGATGAAGCCCCTAGTGCTCAGAGTGTCTGCTGCAATGGACCAGGTGGTCTGGAGGATTCTGGATGGCCTGAGAAAAGAAGGCTTCCAAGTCCAGGGGCTCTGCAAGAAGTAATGGTTGCCAAAGCTCAATGGTGACCACTCATTCTGAGCCCCTGTTGAGCCCTATTACCTCTAGCGTACTGCCCAGACTTACTGGTTGAGTTACCTGTACTGTGCGCTTAGGATATGCCAAGGGCTGCGCTTTGTGCTCCAAAATGCACTATCTCTTTTACTATTCACATCAACCCCTTCAGGTGCTCCCATTTCATCCCCATTTTACAGATGAAGAAACCGAAGCATAGAGAGACAAAGTAACATGCTGAAGATCATATGGCTAGTAAGTTGTGGAGCCAGGCTTGAACCCCGGTGCTTCTGACTACAGTCCATGAACGATAACACTGCCCTAGGATCTGCTGATGCTCCAGTTTCCACTACTGCATTTACCTAAGTGACCTCCTGAGCATCTTCCTGATCTTGTAAGCCCAAACTCTTGCCTCACCACTGGGGCTCCATGTATCTGGACCGCAAAGAAGCACAGAGAAGTTCCCTGCAAAAGGGGTGAGTGGCCAAGAGAAGAGATCCACAATTTTCAGCCCCAATTCACTACAATCACCTGTGTAGAAAAAGTCTTTGTTTCAGTGCTTTGTTTTTAAAAATGTTGGAGCATATGAAAGATCAAGTTCTCCTGGTTGACTTTATAACATATTACAGTACAATGAACATAGTGATATTCATTGTTGCCTGTTTGTTGAGAAGGTCAGTTGGATTTGGTGACATAAAATCAGTGTTCTCTATTTCAGATAAACTCAAAAGGCATTTTGAACAAAGAAAGAAATCTTGGTGTGGACTATTTCTGAAGAATGCAGCCTCTTTATTTTTAAAGAGTTTAAATCAAATTAGTGGGCCTAATAGGGCTTTAACAAATAAGGAATTTGTCATCAGCCCATTAAGTAATTAGGACTTCGGAAACTTTTAAGAATGTTTGAAAATGGTCTTGCTCTTTAAATCATGTTAACCATTCATCCCACAATCTCATTTATAATATACCATGATGTGGAAAGCTTATTCAAGAAAAAGGAAACCTGAACTTAGTCTCTGTGTAAATACTATGTTAAAAATTCTGAATGAGGGGGCGCCTGGGTGGCTCAGTTGGTTAAGCGACTGCCTTCGGCTCAGGTCATGATCCTGGAGTCCTGGGATCAAGTCCCACATCTGGCTCCCTGCTCAGCAGGGTGTCTGCTTCTCCCTCTGACCCTCTTCCCTCTCGTGCTCTCTCTCTCTCATTCTCTCTCTCTCAAATAAATAAACAAAATCTTAAAAAAAAAATTCTGAATTAGGAGGGGCGCCTGGGTGGCTCAGTCGGTTAAGCATCCGACTCTTGGTTTTAGCTCAGGTCATGATGTCAGGGTCATGAGACTGAGGCTCGTGTTGGGCTCTGCGCTTGGCAGGGAGTCTGCTTGTCTGCTTGAGTTTCCTTCCCCCTCCCACTCTCTCCCTCTCACATGTTCTCTGTCTTTCTCTAAAAATTAAATAAATAAATAAAATCTTTAAGAAAAGCATGTCCTTATTTTTGAAAAAAAAAATCTGAATTAGGAGAGTAAAGAGTAAATAGGGGCTTTTTGCCATAGTGTAGCAGAAACTGTTGCTTCCTCATCCTCATGCCCCCCTTATTCCAGATATGCTAATAGAGGGGGCCCTCACCTAATGATGGACAGAACTGGTAGGTAAATCCCCAGTTTCCTTTTGTTTCAGAAACATTCCACATAGCCTCCCAGAGATCCTCAGTGGGACTGAGCCCCAGTTACCCGCAACTGAAGCGATCTTGCAAACCCACCTTATACGGGCTTCTTGCCTCTCCCTCTCTCATGTACCTATCCCCCACCCAGTGGTATTTCCTGGGGTCATCACCCCCATTAAACTTGACCTCAAATCCTTCTCTCAGGGTCTGCTTCAGAAGGAACCCAACCTACGGCAATTTGAAATAGAGGACTTGGCATCATCTTCTTAGATGCTTTTTGCTCAGGAACCAGTTTCCTATAAAAATGTTAAATATTAAAAAGTATGAAATGCTTGAAAGTAATTTTATTCACTATATTGATATTACCTACCCATAACAGAGAATGAGTTTACTGCAGCTTAAAGGAATCTACACTGTAATCCATTAAAAAACTAAACTACTATCTTGTGGATCATAACAACATCTGATTAGGACAGTTTCTCTAGTTTTTTCATTATTTTTAAAGATTTATTTATTTGAGAGAGAGAGAGAGTGAGTGAGGGCGGGGGGAGGGGCAGAGGGAGATGGCAGAGAGAGTGAATCCTCAAGCAGACTCTGCGATGAGTGTGGAGCCCAGCGCGGGGCTCGATCCCACAATCCTGAGATCCTGACCTGAGCCCAAACCAAGAATCAGACGCTCAACTGACTGTGCCACCCAGGTGTCCCGATAGTTTCTCTAATTTAAAATAGACCACCCCCATAACCCTCATCCCTCTCTTCTGCTTTATTTTTATGCATAACACTTATCACTTTCTACCAAATCATATAATTTATGTAAGTTTATTTTTTGTCTTCCTCCCTTAGAAATAGTATTTTTTGCTGATAAACCCTGACACATAGTAGTCTATCGATAAATATTTGTCAGATAAGTGAATGGATAAAGTTTTCTTAGATGCCAAATTGTAATCAGAAGAATATAATTTTTTTAAAGTATAAATGGTATAGATTTCTTTTTTTAACAAAAAAATGAATTGTCAATTTGAAAGACTTGAAGTTTAATGAATTCTGAATTGAAATGATAGTTATAGCAGAAACAGTTTAAAATACCTACAAATGTGCTAGACATACTACATCCATATGTCATTTAATCTTCACAGAGCTCTATGAAATCAGCATTATCATTCCCATTTTACTCATGAGGGAACTAATGCTCAGAGAGGTTAAGTGACATGCCCAAGGGGACACAGCTGAGGAAGGGTGAGAGCCTGGTCTTGAACTAGAATGAATCCGGAGCCTCTACTGAGTGTAGCTTGGGTAAAGTTCACTTTTTAGACTAGAACAATTTAGTGCCTGTTGTTGTTGTTACCAAACTAGCCAACAAAGCAGTGGTTCTCAAACTTGGCTGCATACTGGAATTAACAAGATGATGCCAACTCCTCTATTTCAAATTAAAAAATCCTGATGCCAAGGTTACTCCTAATACCAATTAAATGAGACTATCTAGGGGTAGGGGCCAAGCATCATTTAAAAAAAAAATGGTCCTGAGGTGATTCCCATGTGGGGCTAAGTTTGGGAACGACTGCCACCAGCATTGAGACCTCCACACATTTACTGGAGCACTGGTGACAAGGTGAATAAAGTCAGGTGTCCCTCTGCTCTTGAAGAGGAGCAGCTGGTTCCTATTTACATTTTCTCTTCTGGGGAGCTGTAAAGCAAATCTTTTATTTACACCATGTGCAGTAAAAGAGAGTCCACTTTGGAAAGCTGGACTATTTTTTTTTTCAAATTTATTTCAGTTTTCTTTGGAAAAAAATAGCTCATGGCTGAGGTAATATGGCACAATCTTTAAACCATATGCTGAAGCAGATGGGAAGAGGGCCAGAATCAAGACGCAGCCCTGCTTTTCTGACTGTTCTGGTTTTCAGCACTGCAAAAGAAATACGCCTTTTTGTACATGAATTTGTCCTCACTGTGATATATGCTAACCTGATCTGTCCCCCCCCAGCCCCATAGAAACAACAACAACAAATCTGTAGAAATCAATAGAATTAACCTATTGAATACGGACATACTAAAGATATTAGATCTTAAGAGTGTTTATAAAAATTGTTTGACACCCTTAAAACTCTGTGAAGATGACATGATTACAGTTTTGAACGGCATAAAACAAAGTCAGTGATGATGGTATCACTGATGCCAACATGGGCCTCAGAGCCATTCAGTTTGAGAATTTCTGTACAACGCTGACATTTTATCTGCCCAAAAGAAATACTCCGAGGAGTACTGGATGGGAGGCAAGGGACAAGGGTTCAAGGCCTGGCTCTGC